AAGTACATAAGTTTAAATTAGTCAAAGACGAGAAACTGCACCAGAAATTTACCTTATTTACACGTATCGGCAATGCAAGCTGCCATGCGACTTCCCCTTCTGACGTCACAAGGGGAATTTCTGTATGCAAATGAGAAGCTAATGAGGAGCCTCGTTTTAAAATACACAAAAATAAAGTTGCCGTAGACTGAGTTTAAAACACATTTTTTCACTTAAAAAAATAATTCATGCTTAGAAACATAAAAATTAATAATATTTATGTATCAATGGATAATTTTAGGCGTAAAAATAGCAGCCATTTCACAGGCACTTTAAGCAAGTAAGCAGCGGAAAAAACAAAAAATGACAAATGATGATACATGTACATGTATGTACAATATATGTAACTATGGGGATTAAATGCATTCCCTGGGAACACCTACAAACACCTACATCACATAGACTTCCCCAGTACATGTATGCGCTTACATAAATGTCAAAGGTATGTCTTATGGTCAAAGTAACTTGATGATCCAGCATTAAGAAATGTAATTATTGATTTATTTACATGTACAATTTTATTGAATATTGTGAAATACAAAAGTTGTGTTAATGTTTTAATAACATTAACACAATATTAAAAATATTGCGTATAAATTCATTGTAAAAAGATCATACGAGTTAATATAGACTGACCTCATGTTATTTATATGATACCCCCTATGGGAGATCATTAAGTTTTTTTTATAATAGACTTGCTGTATTAGTGCTTGTATGCTGACTTCTATTAGGTTTCATGCATTGCTTTAATATTTCAGTGAATAGACAATTGATGAATCATGTTTGTTTTCAAAACTGACAAGTGATAAACTGACATGGTATTTTATTCTAATAAACTGTGAGCTATTCTTGATTGGCTGGTATTTATGAGATGAAATACTGTATTACAAACACATTGCAGTTATGACAATAATGATACCCTGCATAACTATCCATTATTTAAGCAATAAGTCACTGCTCAAGGTGGGTATACCACAAGATTTTGCACATTATATTATATCATTATCAACTTCATTTTAAATGAAATTCTGAGACATGGAAATAACTTTAAAGCATCAAAAACTATGTATTCAGGGAGTCAGGTGTTTGTAATCCTGGTATAATATATTATATTATATATATTAAATATAATGCAAAATGGAATGAACTGTGTAATATTGAGTGGTACAAAATGTATACGAGACTTTGATGGGTGGGGGATATTGCTATTACATGTATACGAGCGAGACTTTTATGGGTGGGGGATATTGCTATTACATGTATACCAGACTTTGATGGGTGGGGGATATTGCTATTACATGTATACCAGACTTTGATGGGTGGGGGATATTGCTATTACATGTATACAAGACTTTGATGGGTGGGGGATATTGCTATTACATGTATACCAGACTTTGATGGGTGGGGGATATTGCTATTACATGTATACCAGACTTTGATGGGTGGGGGATATTGCTATTACATGTATACCAGACTTTGATGGGTGGGGGATATTGCTATTACATGTATACGAGACTTTGATGGGTGGGGGATATTGCTATTACATGTATACAAGACTTTGATGGGTGGGGGATATTGTTATTACATGTATACGAGACTTTGATGGGTGGGGTATATTGCTATTACATGTATATGAGACTTTGATGAGACTTTTCCCTTTTTTGGTAAAGTGACCTTTCTCTTTAAAATCTTATATATCATAATGTTGTTTTCCAAGCATGACTCAGAATAAAACTCAATTTATTTAAACTCAAGATATTTATTCAGTAACAATATTTGCTATTCATATTCTGGAGCGTAAGTTTGAAACTCATAACTCATGAATAATAGTGCATAATGCTCTATTTATCTCAGCATAGAAGGACTGTGATTGAACCATGCATGAATTAAAACATGGTATTGTTAAATTACAATTACTGGTATGTATTCATAGCACTGGTACAACATAATAATTCTAGTTTGTGTTTACAGTAATAGAGCAGAGACAGTGCTGTAAACTGGTTAATTTTTCACTGTTACAAACTTTTATGATTTTTTTATTTAAGGGACAACATTTTTACGGAAGTTGACTTTTGTTTTACCCTGAGTATCTGACTACTGATCCACCGATTACCCATTCTTTACTGCTGTCTACTAGTATATATGCTATTATTTCATTAAGATTGGGAAGGCTGTACTTGTATGCTATATCACATGGCAGGGGAAAGCTGTACTTGTTTGATATATCACATGACAGGGGAAGGCACCCACACTTTGCACACTTTAAAAGATGGATATGAAGCCATGTATCATTAGGATCCTAGCAAATTTTATCTGCTTCAAAATTCCTGATTTTCCCATGTAAAATTAGTCTCTGACAAAATATTGGTGGTTTATAGTATCCCATTCTTAGATTGTTAAGGAATAAAAATAATCTTATTTTGATCCTTAGATATAATGTACATGTATGTATTAACTCTTCTATGGTTTTTTTGGGGCTGGGTCAACGTTCAAACTTGACAGGCAGGTCACACCTGGACTGTAGCATATCTTGTTCTTCTCTGCTTGAGTGTGCTCAAAGTAACTATTTGTTTTTTTACATCTTTCTTCACTGCCATGAAATTTGACATTTGACCTGGAAGTATGGGTAACATCAGAAACAGTGTTTAACTTTTCTGTGAATTTGATTTGTTCAAACTTGACAGGCAGAGGTTACACCTGCAGTTACCGGGGGTATGTAGACAAAATTGACCTGAAACACTGCTCTACTATTGCCATGGCAATGTTTGCACTCCCCAGCGGATCGCCAGCCTACCAGTGTGTATTTTTATTTGAAATCATGTCTGCATATACTTGAAAGTTAAAAAAAGCATTGAAATTCTTGAAATTGGTATTAATGGTCTACATATTTCACCTGTATGACTTTGGGGCTTAGCTGAACACCTGATATTGTATGGAATGCATTAACTTTTCTTGACCTGGGTGAAGTGGAATTTCTTAACACCATTGTCTAAATTCCAAATCTGGCATCCTTAATGCTGTGTGGATTATACTTAGTTGTAAAACTTAAATACACCATTAATATATAGCAACTAAATATTTGTTTGCCAAGCAGCATTTCCAGAATAAACAGTTGGCTCTGAAACTAGAGGCCATTATCTCTCTCTCTGATGCAATATTCTCTGTACCCATCACTCAGATAACAGGTAGAATTTGTGTATTCAGCACAGTATTATACTGTACTGACATAGAGGTCGTTGATGTTTCCAATCTGATGTTGTTGAGTATTTATCAACACAGTCTAGCTGTTGCAAAAGTTCTAATGTGTTACGGTGATTGCACTCTCTGATTGGAATTTCTGTCTGGATGTGTTGAATTGTTTGTAGTGAAATGTCACATGTACATATGTGTCACTGGGGAATATATCTGGGATTTAAATCTTTACTGGAATTCTTTTTTTTTTAAAGTATTATATTATTGGCCCAGTGACAAATAAATGTTTTTTATCAAAGGTTGAAATGTAAAATATGAAATTTTAAATAACGTATGCAGCATGAAGAACTGATTTGTTGATCAGCTCACAATTAAAGTAATTCCTCTCTTTCAAAGCACACAGCTAATAGCTATCAAGCTTATGGGTATATGGTTTACGATTTAACTACTTTCATTCAATTTACTTTCTTTGAGCAACTTTAAATTACAGAGCAAACAATTTATGGAGTGTACAATTTATATATCGTTAAAGCTTTCATTCTGTGGATAGGAGTACAATCCATCATCATTCAACAACCAGTGCAGGTACTTCTTATAGAAGACAAACTGTGATCATTAAAACCTCCCTGTTTGTACAATTTATTGTGAATGTGAATACCTACTTTAAGACAAATGAAAGATAATTTGATCATTGGAATCAAATTTGGAAACCATTCACGTAAATGTATTTTCTCGGATTTTGGTTTTTAATGATCAGTATTTTCTGCTTAACCAAAGACTTTTTTCTTTATTTAAATATACTAGTATATAAAACAACTGAAACGTGAAGGAAACAGTTAAAAAAACACTTATATGTATAACTTGATCATCATCACCATCCATTAATTGGAAGTCTTTATATTAATCACTTCAAGCTATGCTTTCTATGTCATGGTATGTAAGTGCATAATCTTACTCCTCGTAAAAATGAGTAGAATTTGCCTCGGCAATTAAAAACTATAAAAAACACAAATTCACTATTTTTGGTGATTGGCATTGTACATCTAACCTGGATTAAATCTGTACTCACAAATTCTAAAATTAATCACTTGTTTCTATTGTAGATTTTAGGCCCAACCTCTCTGCAGCAGTTAACTACCGGGGGTATGACCATAATGTCAGCTTTTTGTGAGAATTTAGATACATGTAAGGCGAAAAAATATTGTTTCTGGTTCTGGTTTTTGGTGAAAAAAGTAATTTATTTCAGAACCTTTTTTCTTGGTTTTGTCTGTTTTTCATTGTTTTCAATATTTTGGCAGAAACCAGGACAATGTTATGAGTGGCTTTTTAAAGTTACAGGTATGTGCCAGAAACAAAGTATTTTTTGGCCTAAAAAGTACAATTAAATTTCTATAAAAAAAAGAAAACATAATAATAACAACAACAAATTCAAGAAATATAAAATTGCATCTTTTGATCTAACTGATCCAAATTTATTTTATTTTATTTTACCCCTGTACTTTACCCATCTCTGTACTTTACCCTGGGTATTAAGTCAATGTACACTGTGCAAACATAGGATACTAATTTGAGTATTTGTGGAATGGGCAGCATATGTGCAGTGTAGACAGTCAATAACATAAATATAGACTTTGCCTTGTATGTTAATATAGTTTATAGTTCCATGGTTAAACATTTATTTCTAGAAGTTGTACTCATGACTTAAATCAATTCTGAATTTTTTCATGATTAAAAATATAACATTGTGCTCTGTTTATTTATTGTTAATGACAATTGATGGATAAATTTCCTTTTATTCTCAAAATATAATAAATTCTGGTTTGACCTTTCATTCCATTGAAAATATATCATACATGTATATAGTGCATCTGTACAGCCTTACTAATATTATGAATTCTATTCTATTATCTATTACACAGATCAATAGGCAAACTTTACATACAAGATTTTCAAAACAACTACCAGTATAACTAGTTTTAAAAAATGACATGTATTAAATAATTACTAATTATTGAGTACCATGCAAATTATGTAGAAACGTGAATCATGATGCAAAATGTTACATGAGTACAATGATATTGTGGGTGATTTATTTTGTAAAACAATAGTGAGGGTGAATCTTCTTTTCAATAACATTGAACTATTTTACAATAAATTACAGGACTGTTGCAATGTAAATGGAATTTGTAACACCAAACCTGAACAAATTCAATTGGTTGCTGCTAAATCTTGTCTGATAGATCACGTTGCCATGGTGCAAGATCATATAACAACACTCAAATACAGATCTCAAATATAGAAAAATATTATGGGAGTATGATGTTGTTAGATTATTGAGTTAGCTTTACTTACAACTGTATGCATTGCCCCCAAAATGTCACACCATTCCTAATGCAAGCATTGAAATTCATGAGAAAAAAAATTGTCTAACATTGGAAATTACCAGGATGTGTGACCCCTGTGAGGTCAGCCTATTGCCAGACATGATGTACACATTACTGACTTACTGATATGCATGTCTATACACTGTGATTCATTCAAATTGATACAGGCAGACAGATGTAATTCCGAAACAAGATGGCTGCAAATAAGCCGTTTTTGATTAAAATTAGGAGACCAAATGAGGTAGCCAATAACATTGAATGTATTCAAAAATGTCTGAAGTGAATACACAATGCAACTGTTATCTTGTAGACATGCATCTTCTGTAGGCAAAATATTCACTGAATTTAATTTCACCAAATATGGAGTGGA